ATATAAAATCACCCTGGTGCTTTATTTCTTGGCAATCCCAAAAGAGTTTACCCTGTATAGAGTAAGCTCTATACAGCAAATATAGAGACTCAATATTTGCCGAATAAAATAAATGAATGATTGATATGATGGATAGTAGTGAATTACATATAATTACAGCCCAACTCTATCTTTCAAGTGTGAAAAATAAAGGGAGTAGGTTCAGGAAAGTTGTTTGGGAAGAATTTGGGATTAGAATAAAAGGAAGTTCAATTGAAAAAGCATTTTATTCTACAGCAAAATTCTGATTTGTAGGAGGTGGACTAGTTGAAGAGAAAGGATGAGTAGAGATAAGACAAAAGGACATGTTGCTTCTGTAGTCTGGAATTCATGACTTAGATAGGAATTGAGAGTAATTGAGAGAGTCATTTGCATCTAAGCAAAACTTTAGAGATTATAAATATGTAACCTGTATTTGAAGCTTCTCTCTGAAGTTGTGAAAAAGGAGTAGCTCTTCCCAGAATGCTTAACCAAATTGACAATTGCTTTTGTACATAGGGGATCTGGCTCAATACAGTACAGGCAGCACATACCCTTCCTGATATGTTATCTGAACTATATGTTCCCTACTATTCTCAGTACTATTTTTGAAGGTCACCGAGGTTAATTCACCCTATATCTTATATTGCTTTTATCTTATTCTTGGAAAACATGGAAATATCATATATTACTGAGACTATATGTTAGTGTATTCTGCATGTAATATAAAATTATTTTTAATGCTTTAAGGGGATGGATTAATTTTATTTCAGTATCTTCAGACTATTCCTTGTGACATGCTCTTTCTCTTCCATTTCAACAAATGATTTTGCTCTTTACCTGAATTCAGCACTATAGAGTTAAGAATAAGAGAAGTGGCAAAATAGAGAAAAATATGCAGACATATGTACCTTCTAGAAGGATACACTTTAGATTCTGAATGTATTATCCATGTCGATGTAAAGCCTGATTTACTCAAACAAGAGCCAGTCTTATCCCGTGCACTTTCTCTAAGTCTTAGAATTTGGCTATGAATATTATGATATTTGGTAACTCATTTGAACAATACCCAGAGGGGCTTTTTATATTTCATTCTTTTTGCAGAGAGCAAAGGTAGACAAATGTGAGAAGGAAATAGCATTTAGCACATAGTTATTTGCCAGGCACTGTCATAAGTACTTTTTCATGATTTTTCTTCTTCTGTAAAATTTAATTTTTACAGAAGCTATCCTAAATAGCTATCATGATCCTGGTTTATCATATAAGAAAATAGATTCAGGGAGACTCAACAACCTGCCCAAGTTCACAAATGGCAGAGACATGTCTGTCTTTTTTTCTCTCTCTTTCACTCCTCTCCCCTCCATGCCTAGTAGGGGATGGCATTTCACTAGTGCTCATTTAGCATATATTTCAGTTGACGTTGAATCTGGTTCCAATGCCAGTGCTTTCCTCACTAATAGCATCCATATTATGAAATAAACTAAAAGCATTTATTGAATTTTGTTAGCTTTGACTGTATATTACGTAGAGTTGGTGCTATGTGTTTGTATAGTTCAGTTAACCAACGTGGTTTTGCTGATAGTGGCAAAACATTCCTCATTAGAAAATTGATGAAACCTTTAGCTAAGAATTGTCATGGTTCATATCCAAGCCCCATTCTGTCTGTTCAAAATAAACCACAATCCAAGCCTAGGCTACCCCTCAACACCATATGATCAAGAGAATTTGGTCAGCACATCAGAAAATACCTTGACTGGCTGCTTTGACATACATTCTCAATTTCCCCCCTACCCCCATGTCTTCACTACTCAACATAGGTCAGTATTGGTGTCAGTTCCCCAAATTTTCCTAGGAAGGAGCTAGGCTACCCAGCTGTTCTCCATATTCTAAGACCTTTTATCTACACAACATTTATTTATTTTTTTTCCTTTTCACTAGCCTCTAAATTTCTTACCAGCAACAATCATATTAGAATTATTTATTACCGACTGGCAGCATCTAATACAGCACCCAGTCAGTAGTATTTTGGATGAATGGGCAAATGCCATTCTTACTCAGCACTGTTTACTGATGGAAAATTCTGAGCATACCCTGTTACTTCCTCTAATCTTAACAATTATATGTTTCCACTCTTCTCATATGTGTTTGTTTGCTGGGGCTGCCATAACAAGATACCACAGGTAGCTTAAATAACAGAAATTAATTTCTTCTGGTTTTAGAGGCTAGAAGTCCAAGATCAAGGGCTTGGTTTGATTTCTTCTGAAGGCTCTCTCTGTGGCTTGCAGATAAATGGCTGTTTCCTTGCTGTGTGTTCACATGGTCATCCCTTGGTCTGTGGCCTAATCTCCTTTTGCTAAGGCCTGCAGTCATGTTGGATTATGGTCCATCCATATTAGCTCACTTTACCTTAATTACCTGTATTTCTAAATATAGTCAAGTGCTGAGGTACTGGGGCTTAGGGCTTCAATATGTGAATTTTGGGGGGACAGAACTTAGCTCATAACATCATAGGACAGAGTGAAGAGCAGAGGGAACTGCTAATGCCCTCTCCCCCATTAATTTCCTTTTCTAGGGAGTGGAGTCAAAATTCCTCACCATGTAAAAATATGAGAATTGAGGAACCAGTGTATGTCTCCCCAAATCTTACCTCTCACAAATGTATGAAATGCAAGGACTTCAGAAAATGAATTTCCTTTTTAATGTTAGTATGTTCTGTAAATGTTCCTCTCAACATACCTGCAACTTCCATTTAAAAAGATGTTTTTAGTCAAATAATGCTTTGTGCCTGCAAATGCCCACAAAATCTCTAAGTCTAAGATGAAGAGCTTTCGTGGACACTCCTTTTAAATATGACAAAAATATATTCTAAGTTGTTTGTTGCATAAATTATATCCTGTATCTCATTCATAAAGTAGTCTTTCTTTTTTGAACAGGGCTCCCTTTTTCTACCAGCTCCCAGTTGGTGGGCTCTCTTCCTAGGATGTGCAAGACATCAGTATTCCTCATCCTATCTCAACTACTTATTGTTGAGGCTAAATTATGGGGAAGTATGGCTAATTGACCCCTCTTCTGTTCAGCTTCCTCTCATGGGAAAGAGCTCTGCATGGGCAGGAGTACTCTACCAATTTGATCACTGGTCAGGAATATTATATGAGCAAAAAAATAAATTTCAAGTGGATTTATTTGTTTTTATTGTTTGCCTCACCTAGTTAAAATTGAAATAAGTGTCTTGAAGTATATTGTCTCTATATCATAAAATGTGGAGTATTGACTTCTAGTGGTTGTCAGCAGGAAACACAGAAACAAATATTTGGGGGTGAAAATATACTGGAGATCCACATTACATAAACATTTGGTAAAACTATTGTATACAACAACCTGAAAGGCAGATGATACTGAGCCTGCCAGTCTAGGAAACGTTGTTAGAGCTAGAATAACTTGGATCCAACCCAAATGCTCATCAGTGATACACTGGATAAAGAAAATGTGGCACATATACACCATGGAATACTATGCAGCCATAAAAAGAATGAGTTTATGTCCTTTGCAGGGACATGGATGAAGCTAGAAGCCATCATTCTCAGCCAACTGACACAGAAAACAGAAAACAGACACTGTATGTTCTTACCCATAAGTGGGAGTTGAACAATGAGAACACATGGACACAGGGAGGGGAACATCACACACTGGAACCTGTTGGAGGGTGGGAGGCAAGGGGAGGGAGAACATTAAGATAAATGCTTAATGCATGTAGGGCTTAAAACCTAGATGATGGGTTGATAGGTACAGCAAACCACCATGGCACATGTATACCTATGTAACAAACTTGCACATTCTACACATGTATCCTAGAACTTAAAATTTAAAAAAAGATCCAGAATATATGTGTATTTCTCTCTGCTGCAATTAGTCAGATATTACAAGAATTAGATAATTGCAGGAAAGAGTACGGTCATTCAAGGAAGTGAAAAGACAAAGCAAAGAATAGGAAAAAATATTTGTAAATCATATATTTGATAAAGGGCTTATAACCAGAATATATAAAGAACCCTTACAACTCAATAATAAAAAGATTTGAAAATTGACAAATGGTTAAAGAGGCTAAATGGACATTTCTTCAAAGAAGATATACAAATGACCAATAAGCACATGAAACATTCTTGACATCATTTGTCATCAAGGAAGTGAAAATCAAAACCATAATGAGATATTAATTCACACCCAGTAGGATGGTTATAATAAAAAAGTCAGATAATAGCATTTGTTGGTGAGGATCCACAGAAATTGAAATTCCCATACACTGCTGGCAGGAATGTAAATTAGTGCAGCAAGTATGAAACACAGTCTGGTGATTCCTCAAATGATTAAACATATAGTTACCATATAACTCAACAATTTCACATTTAGACATGATCTAAGACAAATGGAAACATGTTTCTAGAAAAACTGTGCATGAATGTTTACAGTAGCATTATTCTTAATAGCCAAAAGATAGAAAAAAAAACTTCAAATACTCATTATCTGAATGGGGAAACAAAATGTGATATATACATATAATGGAATATGATTCAGCCATTAAAGGAATGAATGCAGTGTTTTAGCATGAATGAGCTTTGAAAACATTACGCTGAGTGACAGAAGGCAGTTGCAAAAGATCACTTACTCTGTAATTCAATTTTTATGAAGTGTCTGGAAAAGACAAATCTGTAGAGATGGAAAGTAGTAGGTTGCCCAGGTTGGGAGGATGGAGAGTAGATATGTGGTAGCTAAAAGTCGCAGGGTTTCCCTGTGATGTGATGAAAATGTTCTAACATTGACCGTGATGATGACTGCAAATATCTGCAAATGTACAAAAACCATCGAAATTTGAACTTTAAATGGGTGAACTGTATATTATGTAAGTTATATCTCAATAAAGTTGGTATTAAAAATGAAGTGGGTTATCTTCCCACCCAAGCCTCTTGTTCTAGATGGCCTAAGGTAGCTCCCATTGGATTGAGAGAAGTACATGAGCTCTAGAAAGCAGAAGATAATAAACAAACAAACAAACCAATGCAAGAGGTATAAGTTTTAAATCTAAAAAAAAAGAATTTACAAGCTGATTACTGACTCATGGAATTGAGTGGAAACAGATCAGAAGCTATGAGTTTAACGGAAGCACACTTCCAGTAAAACAATAATTACAGTTTTATAAAACTCTGTGATTACAAAACACCCCTTTGTTCCCCAAACTTACATAGGCAGAAAATGAACAGCAATGGTTTTGATATCTGGAAGTGTTTGCTGAAAGTCTGCTCACTGAAAAATGTACTTACTTCAGATATGGTTGAAGGATAATGGACAAGAAGAAAAAAAAAAAAAAAAAAACAAAAACAGTATCCCAGAGGGCAGCATCAGAGTTACGGAGAAGAATGGACCCAGTAGATTCTCCTGAAGAGTTGAATCAGGGACTTAAAACTTGCTGAACATTCATGAATTGAGGTTTCACTGTTCCTGCCCAGCAGGGTTTCATTATTGGAGGGAATCTCTGATTGCTGTATGTCTACCCTTTTCCTCTTTTCACAGTTGGAGACTTTGTGAGAGTTATCTTGTTTCTGCTTTACTATTGGTGTAGAAGTATACATGGAGGAGAGAAAGAACTTGTCTTCTTAGTTCACAGGTCACGGGATCACAAGAAACCACCTCAAGCTTGAAAAGAAAGAAATACAATAACTCTGTGACCCATGGTCATTGAGTCAGATGAAATAAGTAGACTATCTATTTTTAGGGTATTATTTTTTGTTCTTTTTAAAATATTATACTTTAAGCTGTGGGATACATGTGCAGAACGTGCAGGTATGTTACACAGCTAACATGGCATAGTGGTTTGCTGTACCCATAAACCCAAATACATTAGGTATTTCTCCTAATGCTATCCTTCCCCAAGCCCACCACCCCTCTATAGGCCCCGCTGTGTGATGTTGCCCTCTCTGTGTCATGGGTTCTCATTGTTCAACTCCCACTTATAAAAGAGAACATGCAGTGTTTGGTTTTCTGTTCTTTTGTTAGTTTGCTGAGAATGATGGTTTCCAGCTTCATCCATGTCCCTGCAAAGGACATGAACTCATCCTTTTTTATGGCTGCATAATATTCCATGGTGTATATGTGCCACATTTTCTTTATCCAGTCTAACACTGATGGACATTTGCGTTGGTTCCAAGTCTTTGGTATTGTGAATAGTGCTGCAATAAAAATACGTGTGGCTGTGTCTGATATATAATCCTTTGGTTACATACCCAATAATGGGATTGCTGGGTGAAATGGTATTTCTGGTTCTAGATCTTTGAGAAATCATCACACTGTCTTCCACAATGGCTGAACTAATTTAGATTCCCACCAACAGTGTAAAAGCATTCCTATTTCTCCACTTCCTCTCCAGTATCTGTTGTTTCCTGGATTTTTAATAATCACCACTCTAACTGGCATGAGGTGGTATCTCATTGTGGTTTTGATTTGCATTTCTCTAATGACCATTAATAATGAGCTTTTTTTCATATGTTTGTTGGCCTCTTAAATGTCTTCTTTTGAGGAGTGTCAGTTCATGTCCTATGCCCACTTTTTGATGGAGTCGTTTGTTTTTCTCTTGTAAATTTATTTCAGTTCCTTGTAGATTCTGGATATTAGTCCTTTATCAGATGGGTAGATTGCAAAAATTTTCTTCCATTCTGTAATTTGCCTGTTCACTCTGATGATAGTTTTTTTGCTGTGCAGAAGCTCCTTAATTAGATCCCATTTGTCAATTTTGGCTTTTGTTGCCATTGCTTTTGATGTTTTAGTTCATGAAGTCTTTGCCCATGCCTGTGTCCTGAATGGTATTGCCTAGGTTTTCTTTCTTTTTTTTTTTTTTTTGAGACGGAGTTTCGCTCTTGTTACCCAGGCTGGAGTGCAATGGCGTGATCTCAGCTCACCGCAACCTCCGCCTCCTTGGTTCAGACAATTCTCCTGCCTCAGCCTCCTGAGTAGCTGGGATTACAGGCACGCGCCACCATGCCCAGCTAATTTTTTGTATTTTTAGTAGAGACAGGGTTTCACCATGTTGACCAGGATGGTCTTGATCTCTTGACCTCATGATCCACCTGTCTCGGCCTTCCAAAGTGCTGGGATTACAGGCTTGAGCCACCATGCCCGGCCTTGCCTAGGTTTTCTTCTCGAGTTTTTATGGGTTTAGCTTTTATGTTTAAGTATTTAATCCATCTTGAGTTAATTTTTGTATAAGGTGTAAGGAAGGGGTCCAGTTTCAGTTTTCTGCCTATGGCTAGCCAGTTTTCCCAACACCATTTATTAAATAGAGAATCCTTTCCCCGTTGGTTGTTTCTGTCAGGTTTGTCAAATATCAGGTTGTTGTAGATGTGTGGCATTATTTCTGAGGTCTCTGTTCTGTTCCATTGGTCTATATATCTGTTTTGCTACCTGTACCATGCTGTTTTGGTTACTGTAGCCTTGTAGTATAGTTTGAAGTCAGGTAGCGTGATGCCTCCATCTTGGTTCTTTTTGCTTAGGGTTTTCTTGGCTATATGGGCTCTTTGTTAGTTTCATATATAATTTAAAGTAGTTTTTTTTCTAATTCTATGAAGAAAGTCAATGGTAGCATGATGGGTATTGCATTTAATCTATAAATTACTTTGGGCAGTACAGCCATTTTCACAATACTGATTCTTCCTGTCCATGAGCATGGAATGCTTTTTTCCATTCGTTTGTGTCCTCTCTTATTTCCTTGATCAGTGGTTTGTTGTTCTTTCTGAAGAGTCCTTTACATCCCTTGTAAGTTGTATTCCTAGATATTTTATTCTCTTTGTAGCAACTGTGAATGGGAGTTCACTCATGATTTGGCTCTCCGTCTGTTATTGGTGTATAGGAATGCTTATGATTTTTACACATTGATTTTGTATCCTGAGAGTTTACTGAAGTTGCTTATCAGCTTAAGGAGATTTTTGGCTGAGTGGATGGGGTTTTCTAAATACATGATAATGTCATTTGCAAACAGAGACAGTTTGACTTTCTCTCTTCCTATTCGAATACCTTTATTTCTTTCTCTTACCTGATTGCCTTGGCCAAAATTCAACAGTATGTTTAATAAGAGTGGTGAGAGAGGACATCCTTGTCTTTTGATGGTTTTCAAAGAAAATGCTTCCAGCTTTTGCCCATTCAGTATGATATTGGCTGTGGGTTTCTCATAAATAGCTCTTATTATTTTAAGATGCTTTCCATCAGTAGCTAGTTTATTGAGAATTTTTAGCATGAAGGGCTTTTGCATTTTATCAAAGGTCTTTTTTGCATATGTTGAGATAATCGTGGTTTTGTTATTAGTTCTGTTTATGTGATATATTACGTTTATTGATTTGTGTATATTGAACCAGCCTTGCATCCCAGGGATGAAACCAACTTGATCATAGTGGATAAGCTTTTTGATGTGCTGCTGGATTTGGTTTGCCAGTATTTTATTGAAGATTTTTACATCAATATTCACCAGGGTTATTGGCCTGAAATTTTCTTCTTTTTGTTGTGTCTCTGCCAGGTTTTGGTATCAGGGTGATGCTGGCCTTATAAAATGAGTTAGAGAGGAGTTGCTTTTTTTCTATTGTTTGGAATCGTTTCAGAAGGAATGATACAAGCTCATCTTTGTACCTCCGGTAGAATTCGGCTGTGAATCAATGTGGTCCTGGGCCTTTTTTGGTTGTTAGGCTATTAATTACTGCCTCAATATCAGAACTTGTTGTTGGTCTATTCAGGGATTTGGCTTCCTGGTTTACTCTTGGGAGGGTATATGTATCCAGGAATTCCCATTTCTTCTAGATTTTCCAGTTTATTTTCATAGAGGTGTTTATAGTATTCTCTGATGGTACTGTGTATTTCTGTGGGAACAGTGGTAATACCCCCTTTATTATTTTTTGTGTCTATTTGATTTTTCTCTCTTTTCTTCTTTATTAGTATGGCTAACACTCTGTCTGTTTCATTAATATTTCCAAAAACCAGGTCCTGGATTCATTTATTTTTTTTAGAGTTTTTAATATCTCTGTCTCCTTCAGTTCTGCTCTGACATTAGTTATTGCTTGTCTTCTGCTAGCTTTTGTATTTGTTTGCTCTTGTTTCTCAGTTATTTTAATTGTGATGTTCATGTGTCGATTTTAGATCTTTCCTGCTTTCACCTGTGGCCATTTAGTGCTATAAATTTCCCTCTAAATACTTCTTTACCTGTGTCCCTGAGATTCTGGTGCATTGTGTCTTTGCTTTCATTGGTTTCAAAGAACTTATTTATTTCTACCTTAATTTCGTTATTTACCCAGTAGTCATTCAGGAGCACGTTGTTCAGTTTCCATGTGTTTGTGCAGTTTTGAGTGACTTTCTTAATCCTGAGGTCTAATTCAATTACAGTGAGTCTAAGAGACAGTTTGTTATGGTTTCCATTTTTTTTGCATTTTCCAACTAGCGTTTTAGTTCCAATTACCTGGTCAATATTGGAATAAGCACGATGTGCTGAGAAGCATGTATATTCTGTTGATTTAGGGTGGAGAGTTCTGCAGATGTCTATTAGGTCCTCTTGATTCAGAGCTGAAGATCTTTGTTAATTTTCTGTCTCGTTGATCTGTCTAATATTGACAGTGAGGTATTAATGTCTCCCACTGTTACTGTGTGTGAGTCTAAGTTTCTTTCTAGGTCTCTAAGGACTTGCTTTAAGAATCTGGGTGCTCCTGTATTGGGTGCATATACATTTAGGATAATTAGCTCGTCTTGTTGCTTTTATCCCTTTACCATTATGTAATGGCCTTCTTTTTCTCTTTTGATCTTTCTTGGCTTAAAGTCTGTTTTATCAGGTACTAGGGTTGCAACTCCTGCCTTTTTTTTTGCTTTCCATTTGCTTGGTAAATATTCCTTCACCCCTTTATTTTGAGCCTATGTTTGTCTTTGCATGTGAGATGGGTCTCCTGAATATAGCACACTGATGGGTCTTGAGTCATTGTCCAGTTTGCCAGTCTGTGTCTTTAACTGGGGCATTTAGCTCATTTACATTTAAGGTTAATATTGTTATGAATAAATTCAATTCTGTCATTATGATGCTAGCTGGTTATTTTACCCATTGGTTGATGCAAAATTTCTTCATAGTGTCAGTGAACTTTACAATTTGGTATGTTTTTGCTGTGGCTGGTACCAGTTTTTCCTTTTCATATTTAGTGCTTCTTTTGGGAGCTCTTATAGCGCAGGCCTGGTGGTGACAAAATCACTCAGCATTTGCTTCTCTGTAAAGTATTTTATTTTTCCTTTGGTCATAAACCTTAGTTTGGCTGGATATGAAATTCTGCATTGAAAATTATTTTCTTTTAGAATGTTGAATATTGGCCCCCACTCTCTTCTGGCTTGTAGAGTTTCTGCAGAGAGATCCACTGTTATTCTGATGGGCTTTCCTTCGTGGGTAATTTGACCTTTCCTCTGGCTGATCTTAACATTTTTTCCTTCATTTCAACCTTGCTGAATCTGATGATTATGTATCTTGGGGTTGCCCTTCTCAGGGAATATCTTTGTGGTGCTCTCTGTATTTTTTGAATTTGGATGTTGGCCTGTTTTGCTAGGTTGAGGAAGTTCTCCTGGATGATATTCTGAAGAGTGTTTTCCAACTTGGTTTCATTCTCCCTGTCACTTTCAGGTATACCAATCAAATGTAGGTTTGGTCTTTTCACATAGTTCCATATTTCTTGGAGGCTTTGTTGATTTCTTTTGATATTTTTTTTTCTGATCTTGTCCTCAGCTTTTATTCCATTGAGCTGATCTTCAGTCTCTGATATCCTTTCTTCCACTTGATCTATTTGGCTACTGATACTTGTGTATGCTTCATGAAGTTCTCGTGCCATGTTTTTCAGTTCCATCAGGTCATTTATGTTCTTCTTTAAACCAGTTATTCTAGTTAGCAATTCCTCTAACCTTTTTTTCAAGGTTCTTAGTTCTATTGCATTGGGTTAGAACATGTTCCTTTAGCTCGGAAGAGTTTGTTATTACCTACCCACCTTTTGAAGCCTACTTCTGTTAATTTGTCAAACTCATTCTCTGTCCAGTTTTGTTCAGTTGCTGGTGAGGAGTTGTGATCTTTTGGAGGATAAGAGGCATTCTGGTTTTTGGACTCTTCAGCTTTTTTTGTGTTGGTTTTCCTTATGCTTGTGGATTTATCTACCTTTGGTCTTTGATGTTGGTGTCCTTTGGAGGGGGTTGTAGTGTGGATGTCCTTTTTATTGATGTTGATGCTATTTTTTTCTGTTTATTAGTTTTCTTTCTGATAGGACCCTTTGCTGCAGGTCTGCTGGAGTTTCCTGGAGGTCTACTTCAGACCCTGTTTGCCTGGGTATCACCAGTGGAGGCTGCAGAACAGCAAATATTGCTGCCTGTTCCTTCCTCTGGAAGCTTTATCCCAGAGGGGCACCTGCCAGATGCCAGCCAGAACTCTCCTGTATGAGGTGTCTGTCAACCTCTGCTGGGAGGTGTCTCCCTGTCAGGAGGCACAGGGGTCAGGGACCGAGTTGAGGAGGCAGTCTGTCCCTTAGCAGAGCTCAAGCACTGGGTTGCCCACTATTCTCTTCAGAGCAAGTAGGCAGGAAGTTTTAAGTCTGCTGAAGCTGTGCCCACAGCCGCCGCCCCTTCCCCCAGGTGTTTTGTCCCAGGGAGATGGAGTTTTATCTATAAGCCCCTTACTGGAGCTGCTGCCTTTCTTTCAGAGATGCCCTGCCCAGAGAGGCATTCTGGCTACAGGAGCTTTGTTGATCTGAGGTGGGCTTTGCCTAGTTTGAACTTCCTGGCAGCTTTGTTTACACTGTGAATAGAAAACTGCCTATTCAAGCATCAGTAATGGTAGTTGCCCTTCCCCCCACTAAGCTTGAGCATCTCAGGTCCACTTCATACTGCTGTGCTGGCAGTGAGAATTTCAAGCCAGTGGATGTTAGCCTCCTGAGCACCATGGGGTGGGATCTGCTGAGCTTCAGCTTGGCTCCCTGGCTTCAGCCCCCTTTTTAGGGGAGTAAACAGGTCTGTCTTGCTGGTGTTTCCAGGTGCCACTGGGGTATGAAAAAAACTTCTGCATCTAGCTTGGTTTCTGCCCAAAGGCAGCCCAGTTTTGTGCTTGAAACCCAGGGCTCTTATGGCATAGGCACCTGAGGGAACCTTCTGGTCTGCAGGCTGCAAAGACCATGGGAAAAGTGTAGTATCTGGGCCGCAGTGCATTGTTTTTCATGGCACAGTCCCTCATGGCTCTCCTTGGCTAGGGGAGGGAATTCCTTGACTCCCTGTGCTTACTGGGTGAGGCAACACCCCACCCTGCTTTGGCTCACCCACCATGGGCTGTACCCACTGCTAATGAGTCTCAGTAAGATGAGCCAAGTACCTCTGTCGGAAATGCAGAAATCACTCACCTTCTGAGTTGATCTTGCTGGGAGCCTCAGACCAGAGTTGTTCCTATTTGGCCATCTTGCCCACAACCCCAGGATGTTCTTAAATGTGTTCTATGTGTGGGAAGAAAGAACATGATTATGGTGACCAACAGGGCAGACAGTGGCAAAGACTGATATCCATTTTTAAACAATCCGGTTTTCTTTTCTTTATGGTCGCACAACTACATTTCCCAGCCTCTCTTACATTTACTTGCACTCATGTGACTAAGAATGTGAGAAGTGATGTGTATCGCATCCAGGCCTGGCTCATTAAAAACCACTAAAGCACTTCTTTATTCTCTTCTTTCTTACCTACTGTCTTGGAAGGAGCTAGTCTCCATGGTGACATTGAAAGTCATGTGTTGAATATGGCAGAGCCTGCATTAGCATCACTCGAGTGACTACATGGAGGAGGGTCTGTCAACATGTTTATCTACTCAGTTTCATTATTTAAATAACAAAATTTTCTTGAATTTGCACCATTACACATTATTTTTGGTCTGGTATTTTTTTAATAAAACAATTAGCCACCACTAACTAATATAATTCTCATCATAGAATGCCTTTCTTGCACCACTGAGGTTAATAAATTGTTCTCACTGGGTATTTTTATCTTTTTTTCCCCTCTGATTTATGTATGCTCTAAGAGGCAGTTTCAATGACTACTTAGGCTACTTACATTCTATATAAAGTGATTTTTTCCCTCTTGAATTATATATCTTTCTCCTTGTTGGTAGTTTCATTCCTATAATTTCTAGTTGTATGCATGGTATATCTGTAATACGATTTGAAATAAAATGAGTAACATAAGGAATTGTACCCCAGGCAATTAAAACAGAATAAATAAAGACTGAATAAAAACATATTATGGCCATTCTACTTGTCTTCCCACTCCATACACTTGAAAGATATGATTTAAAAAATATTACATTAGGGCTACAATAGTCTTGGGGTGTGAAGACGATAAATTTTTTTAGGTCTGGAACAGTCAGTCGAGACTTTTGGACCTTTTTAACAGCTGATTTGGATTGCTATTCAACAACTTTGATTGATGACTGTGGAAGCAATGAATACCATGACCCAGCAGTTTGGATGGACTATGACTGTGCTATACACATCTTTTAATTTGGTCCTTGTTTTATCTTGATAGTGTACTGTAATGTCTTTTTCATCCTTTTCAACTTGCAATGTTGAGAAAAATTTCTAGAAAGTAGCATATTAGAAAAAGCCAGAGTGTTACTCATTTAAATAATTTATTTTTCAATCAGGGACATCAGTTTGATGATTAATACTCTGCATTCATTTTCTCCTTTTAAGAAACCTGAAACAAACAGGCTTGCATGGTGTATATATAATTCATTTAGGTGTTGAAGCCTGAGCCTACATTTGTAAGAGAAAATTTCAAATGAGCCATAATTAATATGTCACTTTAGGAGGAGCAGTGGGATGAGGGGGTGGAAGTAAATGGATCTACCTGATGTTCTTGCAGTGTATGCACGGAAAAGAGAAATTAAAGTTAATGCACAAAGAACGGATCAGCTTTGCAAGCTCATTTCTTTGAGTTCATGCCAAAGCAAATAGGTATATCTGTGGTATCTCCTTCCGGAGGTGTGGAAAGTGTAGGTTAAGTGTGATGGACTGCAGCACATTTCAGGAGAGGAAGCTTGAACAGTGTATTAATCTAGAAGGCCGACTTGTTTTTTCTCGGCTCTGCTGCCATTTGCTATGTGAAACGTAAAAAAGCTATTTTGCAATTCCTGCTCTCAATTCTTTCTTGAAGAAACAAAACCAATAGACCCCTTTCTACCTCATATATTTATATAAATTGACACATTGAAGCAGAAATGCATTATAAACATATCACACTATATTCCTATATTTCTCTTCCTTGAAATTTTGATTCCATCATCACTGAGATAGAAATTTGGTTTGTCAATCTAGGTAAAAAGATTCTCTGGCAGTCCTTTAACATGGATCTTCAAGTATTTCCAGTAAAATTTGGTGAATTCAGTTCTTTTCCACATACATAGGGTCACGAAGGGCTTCTGTCCTATCACTGTAATGAAACTTGTTTGGGCTATTCCAGGCAGAAAACACCACTTCTTTCTTCATTCCTAGTTGATTTCAACAGCATCACTCAAGGACTGTGAGGGAGGAGTCTTCTCTTCTAGGCTTGGCTCTGTAGGATTGCTCTGGAGGTTTCATCCCTTTACAAAGCTACTACTGAATCACTGGCCCAGTAAATCATCCAAAACGGAAAAAAAAAATATGCAAGTCCTTTCAGGGGTACTATTAGAATACTATATGGCAAATGATACATCTGCTAGCTAATTTTAAATGTGATTGACACATCTTTACACATAATGTTAGAACTTTCAGGTGAAAGAGATTGGAGCTAAGAATCAGGAGACTTACTGTTCTTGGTGATAAAATCCTTATGGAGGGTTGTGCCTAGTTAAGGTCTCCTTTGAAGAGATCCCCTTCCTTAAGAAATCTCTTAAGTTTCCTTTAAAGAGACCCTTGGAAGACCAGTGGGCCCACAGGAAGAAGAAAAGACAGAGAACTTGCGAGAACAGTGAGTCCCCTGTTTTTTGAGAAACCGTTGTTGGAAGTGAGGATGTTTAGTATGGAAATGAGATGCTTTATGGGAGCCATGATAGCACAATTATAGTGTATTCTTCCAGAAAAGAAAAGCAAAAATCAGAAGATGAAGAAAACCAACACAGAACTAGTGGATATACATTACAGAATTAAAATTTGATTGACTGTAATGGAAATAAACATTCTAATAACTGTTGTTAAATGATGATAGCGAGGTTCATATCACTGATATTGTTTTAGTGGATACTAGTACTGCATTTATTAAATATGTTTGCAAACTTTGGGAAAGAAGTTATATCATTCGAATTTCAAAGTATAGGGTTAGGATAAGAGTGTAGACACAGGAATCAAAGGAATTGAAATTTCATCCTGGATTCTGTCATTTATTATTTAGATGTCTTTGGTATTTTATATATTCAAGCCTAATTTTCTCTTCTATGGAATACAAATGATCACAGGATTTATGTGTTTCGGTTGCTGTCAGTATTAAATAAGACAATATACATTTAAAGCATTTAATACAGTTGTGGAATATGGGAAGCAGTCAACAAATGAATAGTATTTGTTCATCATGATTATTATTACTGCTATATGACTTTCAACCTGAAGAATTGTGTATGATGTATTCTTAAATCATTGTAACAGATTTTTTTTCCCTGTGGAAGAATATCTTAACATAGCTAATACTTTAATTTTTTCCCCATAGTTGGAAATATTGCAAAAAGTATAATTAAGAAATCATTAAAACTTGCATCTTATTCATAAGATTGCTGTTAATATTATGCTACATTCTGTGTTTGTGTGAAAAGTCCACGTAACCCTTCCTTAATAAAAAGAACATTCGCAAAGTAAGTGGTACTGATGAGGAAAAAGGAGACTATCTGGGGAAAAACCAAGTAACTTTTCTACTTTTTTATAATATATCAGATATTTGCATATAGATTGAGATTTCCCTTACCCAGTACTCCCAGTTTCTTTCTGTGTTGTAGGAAAATTTTATGACAGTGGATTTTTAGAAATGCATTATGTCATCAGTTGCTTGTTCATTAATAAGTCATGGAGAGTTTGAGGAAGAAATGAACACAGGTTTTTTGTTGTTGTCATTGGGGTTATGAAGATTTAAATCCCATCTTGTAAAAAATTAGAACAAATAGCTAGAGAATTTAGACAAAAAGATATCCAGGAGAAATTCACATTAATAGCCTTAAGTGTCTAATTAATTTAATGCCATTTTTGCATTCACATAAACAGGTTTAATTTTATAGGAGTTTGCAATCTGTGATATAGGAATTGCAATTTCTGTGAACTCCTTGAAAACTCTTTCTATGTTCTGCTCTATTCTCCTCTCCTTTCATAAATTTTGGTGTTAGAAAACTGTTAGTCATAAAAAGGCATTTATAGTTCAATATAATTTCCCTTCTTTTTCTTTTATTTTCTTTAAAATGCAGTTTTAAAAGTAATAAAATCCTTCCTTCTGTAAATCTTCAATCTTTTTTTCCTAAGGGAAGATTAATTTGTAAATATGCTAATGGATTTGTATAATATTAAACTTTCCCAAGAAGAAGTACATTACTTCATATGAATGAACACATCTATCTTATTCAATTTATAAACTAATGGGTAAAACCCCAAAACTGTTTCCTACTATGTGTCTTACAACTAAAATGACTGCAGGCACAGCCACAAACTTGGCATTTCACAGGAAATTTATTGGATGAAAATTTTTTTTCAGTTTCTTTATTGAGTTTCCCTCATTTAGCTGTATTTGGATTGTAGCTAATAAAATGCAATTCCCCTTACAAAAAGGTGAAAAAGTAAACATGCCACTTAAAATAGCAGTGATTTCTAAACAGGAAGTAGACTAAAAAGAACAAATGCCTAGTTTTAAAGAACTATCAGGAGTAGGGATGCGGTGATGGAGATGTTCCCACAGCTAACTTTCATTAAACAGTAGGGTGACTGCCTGGGTTAGGCAATGAGCTAAGGACCTGGTGGTTCAGTTAGGTGGCTCTTCAGATGTTATGCATGAGAAACTTAACCCCTCCTCATCTTGGTTCTTTCTTTACTATTGTCACCAGCTAGATCCTTCCATTGCATAATTTACTTCCTGGAGTCAGGAAGTAATACCTTGATGCCTTCCTGGATCCTGAGATGACCTTAAGATGGTCATTGGCTCATGTCCCCAGGCAATGCCCCGAATTCTGAGGTGATGTTTGAATTACTTAGTCATCTCCCTCTGAGGGACACAATGAAAGCTGGCTGGACTCATAGGAGAAATATGCAGGAGGAGAAGGGGCTCTAAATTGAGGATTAACACAAATAGTTCCATAGCAGACCTAGAAAGGAACTTCTTGGAATTCTGAGAATTCTTCCCAATAATTAGATAGTCTGTTTTCATAAAGGCTCTTTGCTAGCCACTGGGAAAGCATCCTCAGTCAAGGGAAGATTGCAGTGAAGGGTAATTGTGATGG